ATTTGGGGAAAAAAAAAAAAAAAAAAAAAAAAAAAAAAAAAATGACACACACATATGAAGGTACATTTTGAAATCAATTAATCACTGCAGGCTTTTTAAATTTTAGGCATTGTTAAAAACATACTTTTTTTAAAACTTAAAACTAAGGAGTGGTTTAAGATCAACCAGAAGTAGGTTTAAGAATCACTATTTATACACAACAGAAAGAAATGACACTTAACTTTTCAGTATATTGTTAGTACTCTAACTATGAAGCATCATATAATAGCTAATGTAATTAAGTCTTCTTATTTTTAATAACATTTTGGAAACCTTCCTTGATTGCTGAAAAATAGGATCCCAACCTACATTCATTTTCTGTAATGAGTATCTTTTTGGTGAATTAAATATACCGAAAAATTCACATTTATAGGGCATAATGAAGTGTTAAACCTAGTAATTATAAACCAGGCATACTCCCATCTCTGTTTAGAATGGCTCCAGATAATCTTTGGCAGCTAATCAAACAATGTATTTTTGGCCACTAGCTTACAATGAATACTGCACGGGCAGATATTTTTTGCAGGACTCGGGACACACAGGACACATCCAGATGTCCAGGCACACGCGGTTTGTGGCACTGCAAACCTCTTTGCAGCACCACAAACTGTATGCCTGCAATGTTAAAATGTGCCCCATGCTACAAATTTACAGCATGGGAGCTAATTTTGCTAGCGGAAGGTCCCGGTAGCATAAAAAAATGCTGCGAAGAAAAAGCAGTGCAGTACATGCGTGCACAGTGAGTGCCAGAACATATGAAGGAATGGCCATCCAGAGCAACACACTAGCTGCCAGCCAGGCTCCATGCTCCTGGATCTGCACCCCTGCTGCACCAGGACGCCACGTAATATTGCTGTGGCCAACGCAGGTGCTGGCCCTAGCCTCCCCTACTTCTACTTGGGACAATTTGCTATGCATCAAAACACGTGTGCAGGTGCAAGCTAGGTGGCACAAAACAGTGGCACAAATTTGTGCCATTGCTACTTGTGCCCCTGCAAGTGCACAGCCCTGCATGTGGAGACGTGCGCACAGAGACTTCCACATGGCACTTACTGGAAGATCTGGCCTTAAAGTTAGAGAACCCGTGTGAATACCATCCCACCTCTTCTGAACCTACAATACTGCACAGAGTTTAAATAATGTGGCATCTTGTTTAAGAGCTAAGGATAGTCATCAGTGATCCCTGCAACATGACATGCACACAAGTAGCGCTGCTTCCTCACTTCCCAGGAAACTTTATATATCAGCACACTAACAAGACTGAAAATTACCAAGACTATGCTACGTTTACATACATACACTATAACAGGGGGTGTCAACTGGGGTACACGTACCCCCAGGGGTATTTTGAAAGGTCGTAGGGGGTACATGGGGACAAGGGGCGGGGCAATGGAGCGCCGCCACTCCATGCCACTGCCTCACAGGAGCAGGGTCGGGGGGGGGGGCAAGAGCAGGGCCACACAGATGGCGCTCCGCCACTCGCCACCCCTGCTCCATGTCTAGCTGCTCGACAGCCCCCACCCCCCACGGGGTACACTTATTAAAAAAGGTTAAAAACCCCTGCACTATAACATGCGTATCTATATTTGTAAAGGTATTTAAAGTAATGCAAGCCAAACCAAGCTAATATCAATCTATCTATGTATCTTTTTTCTTGGCAAACACCAGTCTCCCAGAAAATGCATTTTCATTTATCTTAAAACTAGCGGTGAACTTGACATATACTTTCAAGGTAAAAAATAAAATTGTACAACTAGACTCAAAGCTGCAGGTGCTGAGAGACCTACATTCACATCTACTCTGTCTGGTTCAGGACAGAGATTTAACCAGTCTCTCATGTCTCAGATATGTGCCTTTACTATCAGCCTACAGGGTACTCCAAGTGAAGCCTTTCTTAATTCGTCCTGTTGGAACCTCTTCCATGTTGTATAAAATGGAGAACTCGTCAAACAAACAAGTGAGAACAACTATCCTGGTTAATTAGGACACTCATGAGGGTGTCGCCCAGTTCCTACTTGAGCCACCGCTGAAATATTTATTCAAAGTAGAACAAGAGAGATTCTTCTCACTCTTCCAGCCCAGAATATCTTATAATCTTGTGACCGAGGCTCTTTTTTGGGTGGTGGTGGTGTTGGATCAAATCTCCTCAAACAGAGGAAGGAATTGAATATCGGAGTGGTCTAACTTTTGAGCAACTGGGTGAAAGAGGGGAAATAGCAGCACTACTCCAAGCTGTTTTGTGAATACATACCTTTCCTTTCCCTTTACGTACCTAAAAAGCACCTCTGTCTAAATATTTTTGTTTCATATTGAACAAAGTGATATTTTTCAATTTTATTTTCTCAAGTGATTTTAAATTGGGTTTCACCCTTTTTTTGCCAATTCATTAACCCTCTCACCCCAAATCAAATATTCTCCAAGCTATAGATCAGATTAAACTGAATTCAATTCAGATTACATAACAATTTTTGCAACAGATTAAATGCATGTCATTTTAAAAGCTAAAGAAGGAAAAAAGATAAAATGAGATCAAATAAACTTAACTTGCACTAGTATCTGGGAGGGTACTTCCAAATGAATGAATGTTATGAATTAAAAGTAAGGTTACAGAAAAAGAATCTGTTGCAAAAAATATGTTAATGCACTTTGGTTACTTCCACGTCATTTTAAAAGCTTAACACAATTTAAAAAAAAAGTTTCTCCCACCAAAACTGAAGACCCTTTTGGCACTCTGACCCTTGGTTTTTGTGGATTTTGTGGACCTGTACCACAAAGAAGCCCTTCATTTTGTCTGAATGGATGTATGCTAAAGCTAAAGGTTAGGACAATTAATTAGGAGCAACTCAATACATAAACCAGAAGGACTTCAATATTCATTGTGCTCCTGCTCACACTAATATAAAAGCTACAGGTAAGAAACGTATTTGTTTGGTATGCTAGGGTAAAAGAAAAGTGCTAATAGTTTGAAATCTCCACTGCAGAGATGCTTACATGCTATAACAGCTACAAACAACGGATGATCTAACGATTTCACCCTACCACCACCTAGCGGTTGCCTCATGGAAGCGCAGTCCGTCTATATCACAGTAATTAGAAATTTCTTTTCAAACAAATTAAAAACAGACAAGGTCCTCAAAACTCGGGACAGTGCTCTGCATTGCCATTGCAAAAAGCTTCAGAACTAAAATGAATAAGATCTCTTTTTTGTCAGCACTGCACAATTAAAACATTAGGAAGAATCATACTGAAACGCACACATTTTAAATATTCCATGATAGTAATGTGTAGAGACTCCATAGGAGGTTTTTAAAACATTTAGCACTTTACAGCTTTCAAATATTCATGTGATAATACCTGAACTCCACGTAAAACAGCAGCAATACAAAATCTAAACCCTGCTTCCATTACATGGATTTCAAATCACTTGTTAAGCCTGTATTTGTAAGGTAAGTAATAGTCTACCCATTGTATAGAGGGTAAACAGGCTCACAGACCCAGGAGCCCTTGTAAATACTCTCCTGTTTTAATTACTGAACAAGAGATCTTCTCTTTAAAGCAGTGAAGCACATTTGCAGGAAAACAATGGCCAGAGGGCAAGCCTTCAAACATGTTCAGAGCTATAATTGGTCTCAGAACAGCAGAAAAGCAACCGGGTGATAGAATACAGAGATCTATGATCCCGTGTTCAGTGCTGACACAAGTACTGGAATCTATGCTGTAACTATCAACCCTCACTATTGCATAATTACAAGAGTTCAAACAGAAAACCTTTAATGGGGTAAAGGCCTTATTACATGATAATTTTGGGTGGCTCCTGGAGCTTTGAAACCCCTGTGCTGTCCACATATTAACACCTTAAAGTAGTTTTAAGCACTCACTATGAGGTTCAAAATTAAGCCACTCCAGTGCAGGATTCTCTCTGATCCACACTACTCAGCTCCTGTTACATTATGATGCGCCCTCCGCCCTACTACAGATGTGCTGTCCAAGCTGAAGTCCTCCAGTATCCCAGGATCTCTCATACCTGCCTGTACAGCAGCGGTAGAAGCCTGTCCTGGCTCTCCAGCCCTCTAGCGGTAACTCGGTTACGGCTCCTAGTCCTGCCCCTGCTCACCAGGCTTCTAGTGGCAAGTCACAGCTGTGCAGGCAGGGGCAGCAAGAGGTTTCTAGACTATTGGGTGTGACTGCTCCAAACTCCAAGCTAGCACTAACACCAGTAAACATTTGTGCAGCTCATAGCATAGGGTGTAGCAAGGCCTAAGATGCTAAAACATTTATCTAGGCTTAAAAGTATTCAACTGCCTCAGATACACAGCAATTAAAACATTGTGTGGCTAGTTAAAGAACTGCAAAAGGTCTGCAATTAACAGTGCATTGTACTTCCATTTTTGTGAAGTTAGTACAGGTTCTATTAAGTTGTGAACTAGTACAACATGCAAAGCTGTTACCATTCAAGAAAGTGTGTTTTTTATAGTGGGAAAACCTAAGGTACTATTTTTTTATTTATTTATTTTTTTACCACTGAATGAGAGAAATGGAAGAACCAATATTCCAGCTAATGGTAGGACCGGTACTGCAAAGGAAAGTAAGTTTGTGTTAAAAATGGTACTTTCATAAAACACTGCTTATTTTTAAAATTTATGAGGGGCATAAAATTGTTCACTGGTAAGAGTAGAAGCTTCATTCATTTAAGACCTTATCTCTTATTTGTCTCAGTTTTATCTCCAGTATTAGAGAACCAGGGATCACAAAGACCCTACTTAGAAGAATTATTTAAAGCCTCAGCATTGTGCTGCACATTAACATTAGCTATAACCCTGTATTTATAAGTGTCACCACTTAAATATTCCAGGTAAAATGTGAGTCAAGATGTAGAATTAGCACTGATATTTTGAATTTGTTCACATGCATGAATATGTGAGAATACATGTTTGCAATTAGGTTTCGCTTCCCATTAAGGTATTGGAAAATATGCTGTTTGGGTGAAATAGCTTGTTTACTTAACCAAAACCACAAAATATAAGAAGCACAACACTACCATGTATGGTCAGAATATGTTTTTTTATAGTTATATGCACAAGTCAAGAAAAAAGTCTTACTGCATTCAGGTCATATAGAATCTGATGAACTTGAAGGCTGGACAACTAACTGAAGGAATGAACAAGAATTTTTGCTAGAAGCTAAATGCTTATCAGTTGAAAAGTAGCATATTCAGGTCTTCCTTCACTTCTTATTAGTCGATTACATGGCAATTATCAGGCACCAGACTGATGCGAGTGCAAAAAAGGTAAATGGGATTCATAGAATGTATCAGATAAAATATTTCCAGTAGACCTAAGTGTCAATGCCATTGTACAAGACTGAGGTGAGAGTGTCTGCAACTTAGTGCACAATTCTGGTCCCCCATGTTCAAGAGTAATTCAAACTGACACCAGAGCTAAGACCTCCAAAAATAAAGGTGAGAATCCAGCACATGACAGCAAACAAAGAGCTTGGTTGGTTAGAACAGCAAAACAAAGGCGACCTCCCCTCTTACGGAGGTAAACACCATGGAAAACAGCTCTTCAAGCTAAAAAAACCCATGAATAAATAAGTCTAAACTGGCTGGAAATTCCCTTACCCAGGACATCAGGGGTATTCCAGGGCTACTCCTCCCATAGCAATAATGGAGACAAGAAACTAAGTAGTTTTAAGATCAAGTTTGTCTATGAAAAGAAGGGGCTTCTGAAATGAAAGCTGTAAAATTTGCACTACAGATGGATGTGCCCTGCTCCATTTCCCGCTTGGCATTGAAACAAATTCAGAACATTAAAATCAAACCGGATTCCAAATGGCCAAGTCTAAACGAGTTTCTGATGGGAACAGGCAGAACCATGTTAGTTATTTTCAGTATCACCTCAAGTTGGGAACCTGGCTCAGATTTGCCCCCAAACTTTTACAGAATTAAAAGACCCAGGTGGCAACACTTCCCTGAGCATCACGTTTCTAACATACATTTGCACAACGTTTAATTAAGCTCAGTGAAACAGATGTGTTGTGCCGTATTCTTACTTCAGAGTAATGGCTGTTAAAACTGAAAAATGTCTCAAAAACTGGTTTACATATGAAGCCAGAAGGGAGGCTTGAAGACTTGTGCAACGAATATTAAATAACTAAATAAAGTTGGTTGAATTTCAAATGGTTACAAACTGGGTGCATTTACACGAGATGCTTACTGCAGAGCCACCAAATGAGTTGTGTAGTAAAACGTCATCTCCGCAGCCCCCTGCCAGCCTGGGCTGCTCTGACCAAGCTCCACGTGCTGCACACAAACTCCAGAGCAATACGGTCTGGAGGTTTTTACTCCCAGGCACACATTCAAACAGTGCATCTGGGAACAAAAAACTCCAGAGCAATAAGCTCCAGAGTTTATTCGTGCACATTAAATACACATCCATTGTGGGTTTCTCAAGAGAGCAGAACCAGGAGAATTTTAAACCACTTTAGCCATACTCGCCTAAAAAACTGCACGGACAAACTTACTCAGTTTAAACCAGATTTATTTCGGTTTAGCTTATGCTGAATACGCAGTTGCTTTTAGCTGAAATAAAATAAACCAACTCTTAAAAACAAAGAAAAAAAAGGAAACAAATTTAAGGCAATTGATACACGTTTCTTATGAGGACAAGGACAGTAAACATGCCCTTCTTCCTAAATGAAATGCATGGGGAGGAGTTTTAAGATTTTAGGACTTATTACAGGAAAGGCTACCCAACTAAAGACTGAAGCTTACCTCAGACATGAAGAAACTTTTCAATAACTTGCAGTGCACACATAGAAACTCACAGATTGCATAATATTTATACATACAATTTTAAAATGAACCAAATTAATTTTTAGACACCAAATGCACTAAAAACTATGGGCAAAAGTGGTGTTCAGTACATAAATGATTTTTAACTTACCTTCCTTCCCCCATACAAGGTTCAGACTTGTTGGCTTCCATTCCACTGTGACATCTCAGCAAACACCATGGAACCTTGCTACCAGGGAACTTCACTGGCGAATGAAGCCAGCTTACAGAGGGCTAAAGGGAGGTGTTTTCATTTAAGTACATCGCATGCTTTGAAAAAAGATTTATTAAATTTTATATCCCAAAGGATACAAAACAATATTAAGAGACTCCTCAAAAACTAAGCCACTTGCTAAAAAAGAGAACCCAAAGCCTAACTGCCCCCTATAGACTGGCTCCACGCTCTAGCAGGGTCCCATGGTAGCTGTTGGGGCCTCACAACAGAGCAGGAGCTGATACAATTGGATTTAATGGGGAGAGGAGGGATAAGTTCAAAGTCATTTATGGGTTGAATGCTTCTCTTACTCATCCTTATATGGGGCACTCAGGACATTAACATATATTAACATATTTCCATGTCTAGCATGGAAAACAAAAATCTCACTTGCTATATAAGCTTATTTGAAAGGAATTACATGGCTATGGTCTGAGATGGCCAAGCTAGAGGATCTGAAGTGACTCCATGAATTCTTTCTAAAGAAAGAAAAAGATCTCAGGAAAAGTCAGTCTCCATGCCTGGGTCTCTTACCAGCGTGAGAGGGAAAGGGGACCAAGGTCTAATTTTGTTAAGAAGGTTTCAACAGCAAAATTTAAAAAACAAAAATCAAATGAGGAACATGACGGATTGCAATATGTTCATAATTGCTTCTCAGGTGACTCCTGAACACTGGAAAGTAGCTGTACTGCTAGATCAGCCCTTATTCTACTACTATTTTGATAGTGTCCAAATGATTTTCATAATCAAAAACCCATAAGGATAGTTTTAAATTGGTAAAATTCTTTACAATCCCATTTAAATCTATATTGATGGACAAGGCCATGGAAACAGACTCAGTACAGTGCACCTGATTTCACCAGAGAAGAAGCCTGGTGTCATTAGCAGATTTATACTGCTTGGACAATTTTGAAGCAAAGAGGCTTTAACCTTTACCCTGTCCAGTTTCTCAATATGACATTTCCTATTGTCTAAGAGAGTTTGCATGTCACAGTTTTTCAGCAGAAAAATGCATTCACACTCCATGGCACAATAATGTACTCTTTTAAATAATTTAGTGTTTGTTTTTTTGTTTGGCTTTTGGCTCCTAACAAACTGCCTTATGTTAGGACCTAAAGGAAAACTCCCTTTTGCATGTGGCCCTATGGTTCTGCTCCTTTGCTCATCTGAGCCATGATTAATGAAGGCATCTAAGCATGGATATAAAATAAAATGAGACTTCAAGCACATTTTCTAAGCAAGTAAAATTTCCTGAATCAGCCTTAGGTCTATCACGAAAACTAAAATTCAAAACAAAGCCACTATTTTCTTTATTAGTCACTGAGTTCTGCCAGTGTACTGAAGTGTACATAGAAATATGAGACACAAGCTCTTTATCATTAAGGGAAACAGCCTGAAGATTCAGATCCTACCACTGAGAGTCTTATTATGCCAACAGGAAGGTCAACGTGCATATTTATTCCCAATATGAATGAGCCCCCAAGTGAAACCGACACAGAAACCCAAATTCTCACAAATGAGCAAATATAAAAAATTGGACAGATAAACAAAGATGGAGTCAGTCAACTGGCAACATTTCTGTATTAAAACCACAACTCAGGAAACTCTCTAGTCACCAATACATGACTAATGCTGCTGGTGGAACACTGTTTCCCAAGCATGGCATCTGAATCATGTAATTGCTGTTCTCTGAAATTAACAGTGTATTTCATCCATGTATGCTGTGCATTTTAATGAGAGCCTTTCTTCATTACTTTTGAGAACTGAAACCAATATAAAAACCAAGGAAATGAAATGTAAAATTATGCAATAAAATTACCATCAGGGGTCTGTAATTCATCTGGGCAAATTCATTCATAGTTGAAAGTTTGTATTCGGCTCTTAGCCATGGAGTACATTTTCTCCCCCATTTACAAGTGCAGTTTAAAAACAAAGTTTGGCTGTTCAGAAGTTATGGGAAAGAAAAAAAGTGAAAAAATGTGGGGGTTTTATAAGCTTTAAGACTAGCTTTACATGAATAAAAGAAAGCTAACTATTTTTACTCCATAGATTATTCATATTCCCCCAACCAAGTTTCAGGTGTTGTTGAAAGAACTGGACAGATTAATAAGTCATTGTTACCAACTAATGTAAAACATCAAATCTGAAAACTCTTCAGAATTAAGTCCTCTTCCTTTTGAAACACTATTACAAAAGTTAATAAAAAAGGCAACAAGTATCTTATGGCTTTAAGTTACTTGCAGATGGTGAACATTACACAATGTTAGCACAAACTCACAGTTCTTCATGGACAAATTCTATAAAAGTAAATGGTTGTCCTCCTTAGTGAAGGCCTAAAACCCTCAGGCTCAGAAAAGTTACATATGCGGTGGAACGCCGGATGTGTGATGAATGGCTTGAGTCCTTCCTTCCAACCTTCTTCCATCTCGCTAACTTCTACATGGGGAGGTCCTGACATGTTATAAGGGAGGGGGTGTAAGCACTAACAGGCAGTTCACCAGCAATTTGGAAGTTTCCTTGGGCTTCCACTACTGATTTTCTGTCTTCTCTGCCTGAAGCTGCACAAAACAGCAACTTGAAGTACTTTCAACTAGCTCCCAAAATGTTGAGGGACTCAAATTTGGGATTTTGGCTTGGCTTCAAGTCTAGGATCTCCTTACTGAAATAACCAAGAAACCCAGGATAACCTGGGCAGAATTACTGCTAAGTGGAATAAATCAGCCATTTTCATTTTAGCCAAGAGTATTTTGGTTTCTATTTGTTACGATCACAAGGGTGTGAAAAATAATAGTCTATTGTAAAGGTCTTTATTTCAGCACTGCAAAATTCATGTTTTCCAGATGCAGACTATATAAAATTAAAATTCAGAGAGGAGGAGGAACACACAAAATATTTAAGGGCTACCACATGTTTAGTTAGGTATGACAAACAGAAAAATCATTTTGATTTCCATTTAAATGTGTGAAACAGACATACCTTTTCCAGCATTTCTAGGAGGGAGAGGAGGAGCATCTGCTGTTGGAGAGGTTGGTGAATCGGTGCTTGTAGAGACAAAAATCTGATTGGTAAAGGCTCCATAGGAGAGTCTTTGTTTGTCTCTAGGAGTACTAAATCCAGGCAGAGACATTTTGTCTTGTGGAGAAAGACTGGAAGAGTGACAAAAGCTCTGGGGTCTTGGAGAACGTTCTTTTTTTATAGGACTAGGCTGTGGGGAAAAAAGAAAAAATTATGTCGTAACATGGATTCAATACAAAGCTCTTATATATTCATCAAACATGTTTTAGAGTCTGGATAGTCTCCCATTATTTACATTAGTGTCAGTGTAAAATAGATTGCATATATAGCAAGCTAAATAGTTAACATAGCTAAAAAGTTTATGTAAGAACGCAAATAGATATTAATATAGCGTCTTTGCTTATTGGTTTGACAATTTAGGTCAAAGCCCCTAAAGCGTCTTTATTCTTGAAACTCCCACTCCTCTGAAACTAAGAGATTAATAATTATGGCATTAACAAGTGACAACCCATTAGATTACTGGGTTTTAAAACAAATAACATACATGTAAAAATATACATTAAGTTACTCATCTCAATTTTTTTTTACTAAAGTATTATTTAGATGATAATAGTAAGCCTTCAGTTTAAATGACCTATTAAGTCTAAACATGTCAAGGGCGGAACTTCTATTAATGTTAGTGGGGCCAGATTTTACTTTAAGTGTTATAAGTGATGCTCTCACAGGCTACTGAGGTATATAAATAAGTTTCCAGGCAAAGCAGTTTGGCATGTTTCCTGCTCTGGCAGTTGACAGGGTTCCCCCCACCCAATATTGACCAGTCTTCTGCTCTGAAGTACTTACATGGTCCCCCTTATCGGTAGCAATGGACAATTCCTAAGTTTTTTAATACAGTCATCAGCATCCTTTTAAGACTGTGGGCCAGTCTGATCCAGATCAGGTCAGAGGTAGATTTGAGGGAGGACAGGTGTTAGGACCTAGCCTCCACCACTGCTTTTCCCAGTGGAGGCAAAAGGAAAGTACCCACAGCCAGTGCTGCTCCCCAGGGTGGCACAGGGAAAACCCCAGAGCAGTAGGGGAAAACTGGTGCCAACGCCCCATGTCTGCAGCCTAGATCAAATGGCACCACAGGCCAGATCCAGACCATGGCTGTAAGCTGCTGACTGCTGCTTTAATATAGTTCCTTTCACAACATGCACACCAAGTAGGTAAGTTGTATCCCCATTTTATAACTGGGGAACTGACAGCACAGAGTCCTTGCCCATGTTCACAAAGGAAGTCCACTGCAGAGCAGGAAACTGAACCCCACCCTCCCTAACATGCTAATCATTAGACTGTACCTCCTTCCTCCTGCCTGAGGCTTTGCTCTCTCTCTATTCCTTCCTTTTACCCCCATGAAAACACCTAGCATTATTTCTGCAACAACTAACCTTTGTTAAGTACATTTATTGTAAGTTCTTAAGACAAAAAGGTACTACGCATTGTTTTGGCTAAACATTACTGATTTCAATTTAGAGGAAAACACCGGGGCAAAAGACAGCAACTGTATTGATCAATTTCATTTCCTTCTTAAGGCCAAACTTTTAAAACTGAAATTAAAAATACCCAGATGGACTAACTTTAATGTGTGCAATAACTTTATACTAAAGACAAGCACAGTTCATTGGGTAGATGTGGCATCTTTTATTAGACCAACTGAGTAGCTGGCAAAAGGTTCTTAGCAAGCTTTCGGGTGCAATCACCCTTCGTCAGGCATAGGGAGTCTCTGCTGGTCTCAGACTCCAAGAAATGGGAGAAGCTAAACATGTGGTAGGTTGTCAGTGAAAATGTAAATAGGTAGAGATAAGCAAGACAAGGAGAAAACACTACAGTGGTAATAATACAAGGTAAAAAAAGAGCGTTTTACCGTTTTCTTCCCCCTCCCTCCCCTGCTTTACCACTTGTTTCTCTAATTTCTACCTTTTTATATCTTCACTGAAATCCTGTCACACTCTTAGCTTCTCTCATTCCTGCTTCTCTGATCTCCAACTATTCCTTTTTTTACAACCACCTCTTTTCCACCTTGTATTTTATCTCTGTTGTCTCCTTCTGACCTTTTCTTCCCCTTCTGCTCTCTTCCCCTCTCCCTTTCCTGTTTTTCCTGTTGTCTTGCTTATCTCTACCTATTTACATTTTCACTGACCTCCTACCACGCTTTTAGCTTTTCTCATTCCTTGGAGTCTCAGACCAGCAGAGACTCCCTCTGCCTGACGAAGCATGACGGAGCCCAAGAGCTTGCTAAGAACTTTTTTTCCCAACTAGTTAGTTGGTCTAATAAAAGATATCACATCTACCCAAAGAACCTTGCCTGCCTATGTCCTTAGACCAACACGGCTACAACCAAAGACCCTTTATACTAAAGATACATTCTATGTACTCTTTTGGTATTTTTGAATACCTACGTCAGTTAAAGAACTATATATCCCCATTATTTGAAAATCTTTAAATAGAAACTAGGTCTTAAACTTTAAATTACTTCTTACATTTCCACAAATAAGCAAATCCTGACAACTCCCAGGAAACCCATTTCAAACATTCAAAATTCATTTTTACCTTGTCATCTAAATCATCATCACTTTCATCAATTTCTTCCTGCCGAAGGTTCCACTCGTATTCTACATGTACGTGTGGATTTAGCTTTCCTGACTTGGCTTGGGAAAGCTGAAAAGCAAAAGCAAAACAGCTTTTATTCAAATACCTATTTTTTTAAATTTGTTTTTCAATCTCTGGTTCTCATTTCTGAAGCCCTCCTTAAGGAAATATATTTCAAAGCTTGATCAAAGGATATACAGACACTGTACTGGGGCATCAAACAAACCTCTTTTTGTTTTCTTTAAGTTTTTCTTCTATACTCAGAATAAAAAAAAAAATCTCCAAGAAAAAAAAGTTTTCTTTAAACCTTAAAGTTGTCATATTTGGCTTTAAAATGCTTATATTTTAACACAATAGAAATAGCAACACAAATTCATAGCAGCTGTCTGTACAGAAGCGCACATCACGGGATTCATTTTCAAAAGCCACAAAGTTTGCACTTTTTGCTCAGCTTCTCAAGCTGAGCTGTTGTAAAAAGCTCTCTTTGTCATTTTGTGTAGTACCTACTGAAGAGTAGGAAAAAAAAACAAAATCTGATAAACTTAGTACATAAACAACAAGTATATCTCGCTAGTTAGCATTTTTCCACGATAGCCAGTATGCATGAAATGCCCCATCACCAAGTGGTCCATATGCAGGGTATGGACAAATGCACATTCATAATGGCTTTAAACAGAGTAGGGGAGTACACAGGAGCTGGTACAATGCAAGTGTTATGTGTGCATGGGCCTATATAGAATTAAACTGCTACATCTTTAACCATGCATGAAGCAGGACCTTGAATTGTACATCACCATACTATGCCAGCAATAATGTTACTCGAGCATGGTAGAGCAGTTAACACATCTGAATTAGTTTACCTGAAATTAAACTAATACTTTGGCATTATCCACATCATCACAAATACTTTGGCATCATAGTTTTCTATTCCTGTTATAATTTACATAGGCATAAACAGCGTTCACATTTCCTCTTTGTTGTAAGCACAATATCATTCTGTAATTCTTTAAACAATGGCAAACTTTTATTTTCCAAACAAAAAAACCAAAACCAAAAACTAAGAAATATGTGAAGTGTCTTATTGTCAATTCATGTGTCAAACCGTCAAAAGTAATTTGATGATGGTTAGTTAGATCCTTGATTTCATGGGCTTACGGCATGAAAAACTTCTTATAATCAACTTTCCCATATTATGTTGCTCAGGTTTTGATAATGGATATTTTTATTATGAAACAGAACTAGAGCATACGCAAACAGCCAGTCAGACCTAACACTGTTGCACAGCAAATTTTCTTTTAGTGGGCACTTTACCTGCAATGCTGAAAAAGGTCCTAGCTGAAACAAAAATGGTATTAGTATTAACTAAGTGGCTTGTAATGGAAACATGACTTTTCAATCAGAATGACTCATTCACTTATGATCCCAAGAAAGCAAGGTATTAATCAGATAAAAATGCATGTGGAGTATTACGAACTAAACTTGTTGAATACTTTGGCAATGGGAAATTAGAATTAAATATTTGTAAAACACTTTTAGATACTAGTAAAAGTGCTAACATTTGCAAGCTGTGGATGAAAGATAAATATTCTGATGCTGGACTGTCAGAAAACAGAAGACGACTTATTATTTAAATCACTAAGGGTAACACTGTCTTTAAAAGAGTCTCATATCTGGAGATATTTGGGAAATTTCCCCAATTCTTAAGAACTTTGATCCTCTAGAAACATCTGAAGACTGGATGTCCTACTAACCACATTCTTTTCTTGGGCATTGTAAAATAACAAGAGCATGCCAATCTGTTTTGCTTCTAAAAACATATCATCTTGCAGAATACCTATGCTGGGTTTCAGGTCCAATGAGATTGGTTCAGGTTCCTGGCTTTAAATCTTGTGACTTCAGACACCTGGAAATCCACATGAATGAATAACCTGGGGGCTTCTCACTACCACTAGATGCTGCTCGCCAACAATATTGTAGATATGACCCTAAGCAAACCAAAAGGGTTATGGGTAGGAAGATAAAGGAGGCAGATTATCAGGTTGCATTCGCGTGTATCCTTCCAGTCAAAAGGGCAAACACAAATACAACCTGGAGATCAAAACACGGGTGCATGATAGTGAGAAGTTAGCAGGACAGTCTGCTACTCAACTAAGTTGCCTGTGTTTTAATGAAAGAAATGTGGAGACCAAGTAGGAAGATATCCACTTACAAAATTATGATTTGAGATAGTAAGGTCAGCAAGAGAGGTCACCACTGCAAAAATGACGTGGTTGGACATTGCTTAGGGATCCCAGCAGAGAAAAAGAGGTTTTGCCCTAATTTTTAGTGGTCCAGATAAATGCAACAATTCGTTTTAATACCAAAGGGGAGTAAGTTGTGATGATGCAAGTGTTACAAATGCATAATTCTGTAGTACCCCAAGCATAGGAGAATGTGTACAACTTTTAACTATACAGCTTTTACAAACCACCATACCAGGATGACAAGAAGATAAAGAACGCTTTTAAAACAAACTGAAGCAGGTAATCAGTTCATTATTTAGTTAATCACTATGATTCCTCTTAGGAGGAATCATAGTTGCACAGGCAGTCTTGCAAGCTCTTGGACTGTGTTGGAAACAATTTTTCAGCACAGAAAGTAGAGAAACCAAGTAGGGGGAGGATCTTCTCAATTTATGGTACTCTAACAGAGAGAAGCTGATAAAAAAACTGAAGATAGGAAGCAATCTGAATGAGAGTGATCACAGAACTAGAGAATTCATGATCCTCAGGTCAGGAAAAAAGTGCACAGACTATTTATGGACTGCAAGCAGAATGTGAGCCAGCAGTATGCTCTTGTGGGAAAAAAATAAAAAAGCTAATGGCATGCTGGGTTTTATCTGGTGTTTTATCAGCTGGCATCCTGGATTTATCAAGTGATTCTTCCACTCTATTCAGCACTGCTGAGGCCTCACCTAGAGTATAGGTCCAGTTTGGGTCCCACACTTCAAGAAAGATATGGACAGATTGGAAGTCCAACAGAGAGCAACAAAAATTATTAGGAGCCTGGGAGGTGTGACTTATGAAGGCAGGCTGAAAGAAGTAGGGATATTTAGACTGGAGAAGACTAAGGGAAGATTTGTTAGCAGTTTTCAAACATCTGAAAGGCAATTATAGAGGATGGAGACAGACCATTCTCTGCGGCCATAGGAGACAGAATTGCGACCAATGACTGCAAATTCCAGCAGAGGAAATTTAGGTTGAAGATTACGAAGAACTGTGACAAGTCAAGCAATGGAACGAGTCATGTCGAGAAGCTGTGGAATCTCCATGCCTGGAAATTTTCAAGAGCAGGTTAGACAGACACTCGACTGGGATGGTTTAAGCAGGGGACTGGATTACATGATCTCATGAGATCTCTTTCAGCCACGATCCAATTCAGATAACTGATAGGCAGGTCTCAGGGAAAAAGGAGGTCCAAGAGAATCAGTTACTTCTTTATGAGACAACATTAAGGACAAAAGAGCATGGCATCATGCTGTGAAACAAAGATAGGGAGCTTAGTTATGGACCTGCTTGTTTAAGTCATAAGCTCTTCTACAAAGAACCTTAAAAAGCAATCTTACAAAAAGGGTAAATGTAGCCCTATTGCCAAGGGTGAGTATTAACCATACAGTACACACATACAAGGATACAATCAGAAAGGCCAAGATACCAACTAAAATACATAAGCAGTAAGAGGAGGAAAAACAGAAGTGTAGATCCCTTACTGAGTGGCAAAGGAAAGCTAATAATGGATGATGTGAAGATAACTGAGGGCTTCAATGCCTCTTATTTCAGTCTTCAGAAGAAAGGCCAATTATCAGATGCCCAGTACAACTACTATCAAGAAAACAGAGGAAAGTTACAGAAAGAACAGGTTAAACATTACTTATCTAAGTCGGATGTTTTCAAATCAGTGGTCTGAGGGATTCATTCTAGAGCACTCAAGGAATTAGCTAATGCAAGTGCTGAGCCAGTGACTATTATCTTGGAGAACTCTGAGGTCACAGGAGGTTCCAGAAAGCCAGTGAGAGCAATATTCAAAAAAAGAAAAAAGGCAAACCCATTGAATTATAAAGAAATCATTCTAACTTTAATAGCTGGAAAAATATTGGAGCTCATCACTAATAAATAATTAATAAGCAGCTAAAGGATAAGAAGGTGATAAGCGATATGGATTGTCCAGACAAAAATCAGACCTAATATGAATCTGATGTCCTTCTATGAGAAAGTGACAGACCTTGTGGAATGGATTGGGGGAACAGTGGATATGATATACCTTGACATTAATAAGATGTCTAATACTGTCCTTTCACATCTTCATAAGTAAATTAAAGAACATGGTCTATATAAAGCTATTGTAAGGTGGGTATACAACTGGTTGGATAATTGTGTTCAGTGAGTAGTCATCAATGGCTCAATATCCAACAGGGAAAAATGATTTAAATGGGCTTAACACAAGCTGTCATTGATCAGTAATGTTCAATACTATCATTAATAACTTGTTCTCACTGAATTTCATTTCAAAACATAAGAAGTATTACACTTAGGAAGGAACAGTGACATTCACAAATAAAAACAGGGATGAAGTACTTAGAAAAGGACATGGGAGTTACAGTGAAACTAAAAGACTGACAATGCACCACGGCTGAAAAAAATACCAGGATATTGGGATTTATTAACAAGAATGTGGCATACAAGCATTTTCCTGCCATTCCATGGTACTATTTAATCACAGGATCTCAAGGGCCCCTGAGCTTTCAAGTATTTTTTTTTTGTTCAGACTATATTTAGCAAAAAAGCTCTCAGGTTTATTTCTGTTTTTTAACCAGCAACCCTACTGAGAAATGCACAGTGCTAGGAAAAAAGCCCTAGAATGCAGGACTGCCTCACCCCTTTCACACAGAAGTGCTATTACCATTAGACTACAGAGGCAGGCTTTCCTCTTGCTTTCTGTCCTTTTGGGCCTTCCAATGGCCCGGCTTCAGAAGAGGAGTAAAGAGTACCCTCACCTAGCCTATTCTAGAGCTCAGTGGTTAGGAAACTCTTCATGGAAGTCAGAGAGTAGTTTTTAAATACCCTGAAAATGAGGTATCATCTAGGTCTCCTGTCCTAGGCATACACTCTAATCACTAGGAAATTGAGCCAAAGGTGAGCACTGTCATTGTAACCATAGTTTGTGAACTGCCTGTCTTAAGAAACCCATTGTACAGGTCTCTCAGAACTGGGACTAAGCACTCTGAAGCACAAGCTAGTGGAGATTCTTTATAAAGAGCCTGAGATGTGCTGGAGTTAAGCCACAATGCTATAGTTTAGCATTTCCCATTGGCTACCCAGAAGCATCTCCAAGCTTTCTGGAAACTTTTCTGATACCTGGCTCCAAGCTTCAGAGGCAAATATCACTCCCTATGCTCTGTACAGAGCACCTAGATGCATAAACACACACCACTCATACATCTCTCAAGTCACTCCATTGAACATATGGGAATGTTAAGATGTATGGATCAATCGGGTCATTCTGAATCTCCCTCATGGGGCAGGCAATCAAAACTTAGGTCAGATAAAAATAATATAATAAGATCATTTATACCCTCAGATGTAAGTGCTTAATAAAACATAGCCGTCTGTCTTACCAGTTCTTCACATTGGATAGCTTTCAGCCTCTTTGCCGTATCCAGAGCTGTCTCTCCCGCTTGATTTACTGCAAAGAGAATTAAAAAGCGCTTCTGTAAAATGTCTCCACAATCAGTGCTTTAACTTTCAATATGATAAGGAAGATTAACTTTAAAAAAAAAAGAAAAGATTGAAAAAGTATTGTTACTTACCTTACAGTGATCATATTTTATCCACACAAATCATGCTTGCTTGCTCCATATTACTAGTTAAAAAGATTCTGATCTCATGTGTATGTATTCTGTCTGTACTCAAGACTTAACCCAAGCACAGATTATTATACGTAAGGGGCTACCTCAATTGCAACTCAGACCCTTTGTCAATAAGAGTTGTATATGAGTAGAGTTTTGATTAGCAGGAAATGAAGGTGATTTACAGGACCTGGTGTTTATAGTGCCACTGCAGGGCTAGCCGGCTATGGACAACAACAACATAGCTCAAAAGAACCAAATGCCCTAAGATGAACAGGCAGTCCTCCTTTGAATAATGGTCTATATTAGGGATGTAAATATTGTTAAAAAAGTTATCCATTTAACCTCCTCTAATATACCAGTTAAAGTCCGGGGGCGGGCAATTATTTTGGGCGGAGGGTCGCTTACTGAGTTTTGTCAAGCCATTGAAAGCCACATGACAGGCAGCCCAGGGCAGATAAATATTAATTTTCTAAGTTTTTTAGGGTCCCCACAGGCCGGATAGAATGGCTTGGCAGGCCACATTCGGCCCATGGGCTCCATTTTGCCCACCCCTGAGTTAAATGATTAACTGATAACACAGCAGCTGATTAACTGATAACACAGCTGCTGCTGGGAGCCATTCCCTGGACCCTTTGACAGGGAGAAGAGGCGGCAGTGGCAAGCCAGACAACACAGCTCAGGTGAAGCCTTGTGCTGGGAGGGAGGAGGCACCTGTGAATGAGTAGCTAATTGCTTAATCGACAAATCATTAGGCTGCACAAGGTTTTCTTTAACTTCATAGGCTATATGGGTACTATTCCCTACTCCCTTCCTCCTCCTTACCTCCTGCCTGTCCTGCCATCTTCTAGTCCTGCTAGGACACTGCATGGCTTCTTTTCCCCTGGACTTCCAGCCCCTCCCTTTCCTCCCCCCACCCCCGGATAAATGATAACCAATAAGCTAACCAGTTATCATTGGGCTTATTAGTTAAATGGTTAATTGTTTAATCTTTTACATTCCTAATCTATATGGATTCAATTGTAGGTGATCAACAAGCAGACCTACCAAGTGTGGAAGTATGGAGAGAAGCCCTACTTAAAATAACTGTAGGACAACCCTGTTGATGATGTTTGAATGGATACAGATGTCCCACATACACTCTTGATATACCAGTCTGGAGAAGGACTGAAATAATTTGCTCCAAATAAAGCCCTCACCACAGCCAGAAGGTGAAATTCTCTCTCACCTGGTGTGGAATTAATTTTTAAAGGAAAAAAAACCAACTGATAATGGACTAATTAAGATGAAAGTCAAACAACCTTGTAAAGAAACTTGACGTAAGGCCTAAAGATTACCCCATCCTTAGAGTCATGAATCCCTTCCCTAGGCGATATAATGGCCATCGAAAAGGTTATTTGTAGGCGACAAAGGAAAGAAGTTGTCAAAAGGCATTCTGTCAAACGAGAGAGAACTGAGATGATTAGATGACTTCTTGAGGTCCCTTCCAACCCTAATTTTCTATGAAAGATTTCTTCAGGGTATGTAAATAGTATAAAAGGTTAAAATTGAGATATTTACAGGTAAAAGCTTGTGTTTCACAGCTCAGGTAAGAAACACTTTTCCATGCAACTGAACAGTCTGGAGGAAGACTTTCTACTTTGTTGCAGAATATTTGGTAGTTTAGACAGGCATTCCCTCTCCAAAGAAGACAGTCTTCTGGAAGGAAGTGTTAAGGTGAATAAGAGGAAGGTAGAGATTAACCACTTTTGAAAACAAAAGCTGCAGGAATGACACAGCCTGCATCTTCATCTGACTTTACAAAAACTCCACCTACGTATTTATGCCCAGAAAGGCACAGAACACGTCCAATTTTAGAGAAGATTCTGGCAAAGATCTGTAAGGCCACAGAGATTGGAGGGAAAGAGTATACAGCCATACTCACCAATTCAAAATACTGTACTTTGAATTGGGATCAAAGAGATATGAAAGTATATGCCTTGAAGGTCAAGGGCATGAACCAGTCCAAAGAATCCAGGGTAAATAAGAAAAAAAATACTGAGATGTCAAGAGTCAAGGATGAGTCTTTAGCCCCATTTCTTTTTTAGTCTTGGGAACTAATGGGAATAACATGTTCTCTACTGCTCCCAGACACAAGAAGGAGTCTAACTTCCACCTCCATAATTTTGCATGAGAGGGGCTCCTGAACAGTCACGGAAAAATGAGGTTGGGAAAAATAGAAACAGTCTGAGACTAAAAGCCTGAAAACCCACTACACTGAGTTTTTACAATTCTGGTTCTTGGGGTGGGGGGAGAAGAGAAAGAGAATGGGGAGGGGAAGAAAAAAATAAAGTTGATTCTAAATGGAGAACAAAGAAAAGCTGCCCATAAGGGGTCTACTGAGGCCCTTGACATTTATGTCAAAATTAGTTTTTGACATCCAGCGAGGGGTGTACGATAGTTAAAGAACACGGGGGGGAGTTAAATATGTGGATGCTTCAGATGTTCTCACAGCCACAGACAGCAAGAAGGACCTGAATAGTGACATGCCTATTATACTCTACTGTGGTAGCAAGGACATAAGGTACAAGTGCATTCCAAGAGGATGTTACTTTTCATAAAGAATTAATTCATGTGCATGAAATTTATGTGCCTCTAGAGAGGAATAGCTTGAAGAAATGTAATATACAACAGTATAAAAATGATTGAGTAAACTATCTCTCAGCTGAATCCCTGCTATAAGCTCTGTTACTGAAAGATTCATATCATGGGTATGTGATTAATAGTTTTCATCTTTGGAAATTCAGTTTCAACACAATAGTGTAGAAACAAAACTACTGAACCTTATTATAGGAACAACTATTTTTTTTTTAATCAAACATAAAAAAAGAGAGCTTACCTATATCAACAGTTGGCTTGCCCCTCAGAAGCAACTTCAGACACTCAGGCTTATTATATATACTGCAGTAGTGTAGAACCGTATTCCCCAATGCAGTCTGTTTATCCAGGTTTCCACTAAATATTCAAAGAAAAGAAAAAAGGAAGAAATATTATATGCCTTGACCTTCAACCCCAAATCTGTCATCTCTATGCTGTATTTTTTAATGGATAACATGCATGGTTACACACATAACTTCTGTTACAGAAGAGTGAAAATTAGTAAGTAATCCTGTTTTTCAATTTAACAATGTCTCTGGTCTGGGAAATGCACTCCTTCACCAAAACCACGCTAAGAATTATGAACCCAGACAAACTCTTGGAGCGTTTTTGAGCAGCAGCTAACTATTCTAGTGACCATATTTTCCTTGAGCTGGTATTCGACATCCAAAGCTTTGTACAGGCAGTCCTTGGACTTGCGACAAATGGTTCCTGAAATCCGCATCTTAAGTCGAAACGTTGTAACTCGGAACCAACTTTCTCATTAGAAACAATGTTATAAATGGGGGATTGGTTACTGAACCAAGGCCTGATACCCTATTTTCACCAAAAATACCCCAGAATTTTGTACTCGATCAATTATAGATGAGTAATATAGCAACATTAATGCATTTATATCATAAATAGCAATCATATTGATTTGGAAGGACTTCTTTGAGGTGACTTTGCTGGAGTTTTTGAAGGGCTCCTGGTTGGACTTTTTGAAGTGTTTTTGGCTGGAGTCTTGGCTGCATGTTTTTCTGGAGCCCTGTCTGCTTTCTTAAAGAAAGTGTCCAAGGAAGTTTGGACAGATGTTCTTCAGGGAGACGAGTGACACAGCGAACTTGTTTGCTGGCGTGACACTGTATAGGATCAAGCGTTGTGAAGTCGAAACTGACGTCATAAAGTTGAAACAGGGTGTCGATTTATAAATGCTGTAAGCGCGAAACGTTGTAACTCAAAACACTGCAAGTGGAGGACTGCCTGTACTCCACTCCTTCCAAGGAACCCTCAAGTTTCTATTGGCCAGCCAGATGAATCATGTAATCGACCCTTGTTTTTCTATCATAAGAACATGCCCAATCAGAATATTTTGTGAAGTACTTTACATTAGTTTAGGCTGGGAAAAGAGAAAACATTTTTTTTTGTAAGTCTTTTTCATTTGACCATTTCATCCTGTTTTTCATGGTGGGGGGAGGGGGCGGGAGTGTACGAGTATCCTACACTTGGCTTAGCATGGTGGACAATGTTAAAAGTATGATTTGAGATATGTTCCTCTTTCCCTAAGATCTTTCCTCAGGTTTTCATCTGAGTGTCAAGGACATAGAAGCCAATGATTCTCATTGTGGGACTGTGGAGATAGATTCAGGAAGGACAAAAACTATGTTAGTATGAAGATAAAAATTGTACAAGTTAGCCATAGGCTTCCACCTCCCCTGCCTGTGTATTTGAATAAATAGAAGCCCTTTGCTGCCCCAAAGATGCACACTGTCCATCTCAGAATCAGGGCATGGAGCAGCAGCAAGGCTTTCAATACCGCATTTGAGTGGTTAAAAAGCCAGCACAGAAGTCTAGGGAGACAGCTGGAGTTACCACTACTCAGACCTGCTTCAGAGGCTCCTCCCACTCCTTTTTTTTTTTTCCCTGCCCAAAGAACTTTTCTTATCCAGGATGCTTTTACATGGAGACTTATAATGAAAGCGTCTATCACTATTGTGTTGCTAGCATGATAGCAGAATACTCTTTTTTTGTAAATTTGAGTTTTAACATAAGGCAATAAATAGAGCATTCATCAGGAAATGATAAAATGATTAGGAAAAATGCAATATGTCCATCTAGGGTTAATTGTGCTGTAGAAGACATGTAGGGTTCAGTTTAAATAAATAAGTAAATAAAACTGCACTCTGATTTTAAGCTTAACAAGGTATAAACTGGCATACAAATACTTGGCTATGTAGAACACTGGTCCAAAGAAAATGCCGACTGAAGGCATAGGCTAGAGAATTTTACTTTGAATGCTGTATAAAGGAAGAATTACTTTAAGCAACGTAGAAAGCAAGGCTTTCCAACTGGTGGCCCTTGAGAGGTTAGGTTGCAACCCCCAGACTCCTGTCTGGCCACCACTCCCCACAGCACTACGGCTGCAACTGAAGCCAGAGACTCTCGGCTCTCAGAGTGCAAGGCAGTGCACCATGGCATGGCCAGGGGAACTAAGAATGAGCCTGGGGCCATGGGTGAGGGGAGGAGTGAAAGGGGGTACAGGACAGGTGCAACTACATAGTGGGGGGGAGGTGCACAGATATGCAGTCCAGCAGCAAGGAGGGGGCCTATCCAGTGTGCAAGTTGGGGTGGTGGGGGGGTGGTTTTCTGTAGTGCAGACCATGGATGTGCAGGCTCCCCAAAGCATGTTCTCAAGATGCTTGACAAAACATAACATAGCGGTCCTTCATAAGTAGGTAAATACTATTACCTCCATATGACCAATGGAAATAGAGAAGGCACAAAGGATAAATAATTTATTGAAGAATAAGTTGATACACAGCAAATCACCAATTGATCTAAAATGGAATGTAGATTTCCTGACTCCAAGTCTGATGCTTTAACCACAAGAACAAACTTCCTTTCTTATACAGACTACATCAAGTGTGAAGTAGCTACACAAACTGCTGGAAAAGGGAAGGGAAACCATATGATTCATCAATGCTGTTCTCAAAGTTAAGATAAAATACCAGATATGACTTCCTGCATTCAAAAAATATATATACTGCAGTGATCCCACTGGTCTTCTTCACCTTTAAATTACTCCTATTATGTAAAAATCAGTTGGACAAGATATCGGCTCTTAATTTCCTTCACTCAGAGAGAAATTAAAAATGACAGGGGATCTATTCGTCATCTTTTTGCATATACTTTATAACTTTTCATCAGAAATACTTATTGCATAGCTATTAATTTTATTTAGAGTGAGAATTCTTATTAGATTTTCCTTATCAATCTCCTTGACCATCATAATATCTGAACCACCCAGCTAGACCTTGAAACAAGGTCCTTAAGTAACTATAACATTACTGTTCCCACAGTTTTAATCCTATTGCTTATTTCAAATGTCCATCTTTTCTCAAGTTACAGGATCACTACATATCACCATATACTATAAACTCATAGAAGAGAAAAGTATCTCTAAAAGACAAATAGCTCATTGCCAACAGGGTCAAATTGCTAGACTTACGTAAATTATCATAGGATCATAGGAAATAGGACTGGAAGGGACCTCACAAGGTCATTTAATCCAGCCGCCTACTCAAGACAATATCATCCCTGACTAAAGCATCCCAGCTAAGTGGCTCTCCAACCTGTTCTTGAACATTTCCAGGGATGACTTATGCTCATTCCTTTATATACATACAATCTGTGGAAACAAATCTTCAGTACTTTTTTTGTTTGGATTACAGTCTTTTCCTTTCTGTCCCTATTTTTTGACAGATTTCTTAGTCTCTTTTTCCAGTACTGTCAGTTTATATTAACTTTCCATTATCATATTTATGTAAGTTCCTCTTGATTTTTTCTTTTTTTTTAAAAACTGTCAGGGTAGTGCCTCCTCCTTTCAAGTACCTGTTTTTTATTCTGTATTTCTTACAAACAGAGCAGTCAACTCAAAGTTGAAACATGAAACATGCTCAGGTAGTTTGATTTTTAATGGAAAATAAACTGCTCAAAGCAAATTATGAGAATGATATTCAACAGATCTATTTTCCTTTAAGTTATTTTTGATTATTCAAGTGAGCAATCCATACCAGTTTTGTACAAGGAAGTCAACCAGATGGAGAGAGGTTTGGTCAGCAGTCCGGACTGCTAAATGAAGTGCTGTTTCACCTGGCTCCTAAACATAAAAGAAGAGAAGGAGGTTACAAAATGAAAAGTCACAAAGTTAAGCACTTGAGACACACTTCTCTTGCAAAGCTCATCCCCCTCCTGCCATACAGTTTCAATCATTTAACCTTTTTATTAACTGTTTAAATAGAAGCAGCATTAAGAAACATATGATATTGAAAATGACAGGGAAAAGCTATTAACAAAAGTGCTGCATTTCCTTTCACTGCCCTCTTCCTCTCTAACTAGTTTTCCCCTTTGGCTAATCAAAGGGCACAATCCTGAGATTACCTTCAATCATCATGCCAAATAACAACTAGTCCCATAAAGTAGAAGCATGGCTTATCAGGAGGTCTTAGTCCTCCCTGGGCTGAAGAACTGTGACCATCACTCCCTCCCCCTGTGACAAGCTGGGGCCCAGCCCAGTGCAGCCCAGCCCAGCCCAGCCAACATCTCAATTGCCTAGTGGAGGCAGAGGGATCTGGCCAGGGATTGAGAGGGATATGAATCAAATCAATATGTAATATGACTGTAACATCCTGTGGCACAGACCCTGCATTGTCACAAACCTGCAAAACATATGCACATTTACACAGCTATAGCAGTATATCAAAATAACAGTTGTAACCAACATCATCTAATATGAGTCAGTGCCTTCAGCTGGGTATCTGAATCAAACTGGGCCAATTTTCAGAAATCACTGACTGCAATAGGAGCGGAGAGAGCTTTCAACACTTTTAGAAAGAAAAAATGAGCCATTTTTTGTGAAAAAACACCCATTAAATGTCAGCAAAACTTAATTTTGTTTAAATAAATGCAGATCATGAATGTTTCATAATACACCGAGACAAGTACACAGTATGCTGCTACATGAAAAGTAGCTGCAATATTGCCACTGATAGCAAGGATCTGGGTGGGACAACCCAAGAGGTCCTTTCCAGTCTCATATCTTCCCCTGCCAACCTAAAAGAAATGCATTTTGGAAGACCTGGTGTAGCTCTAGTGTAGCTGCACCTGAAATGCTATTTTTAATTTCATCACTGTTTTATGGTAGTGTTTTAAAGGTCATTCATCAGGCTGCCCTCTGAACACAAGCACAGACACTCAAAAAACATGTAGGCCATATATTTCCTCTTGCTTTCTTCACTATACTATCATCATTTATTATTTCTAATCCAGTACATTCCAGAGGCAGTTGTTAGGATCCTTTATGTTTGTAAAAGGTTCAGTACAAATACAATCCCTGCTCCAAGACTAACTAGGAACAAAATACAATTTGTACATGCTGAAAAACAAAGGTTGGTGCTTGGTACAGGGGAAACAACTTCAGTAACAAGAATGCTAAATCAGAGACTAGCCCTGCACACAAGTTACAGGCTTCCAACTTTTGTTTTAATATACTTAAAACAAAAGACTTTATGGTTCAGAAGATTGCTTATTACAGACCCACCAATCCTCAGGGAGCTTACTGTGGTTATCACAGAAGAGATGGCCCCTCAAACATGACCTGAACATTATAGTTTTGTTAACTGATTCAGGAAGGGAATTTAGTGCAAGCAGAACAGCACAGAACATGGTTCCTCACATGAACCTGGAGGCTGCCACTGCTGACAGAGTACAGGAGCAAGTTCACAATACAATAAAGAAAAATATAGATAAGCAGGGAAGAACTGAGCAGCACTGAAGTCATGGACCAGAAGTTTTATGTGGAGAAGGGGAGCAATTGGAGGGACCAAGAAGACAGACATCCATCAAAAACACTTGACTAGAAAGAAATTGGGCTGCACCCAAAAGAGTGCATTCAGGTTTGATCACTGCATTATTTGTCTTTCCAATTTCTAAAGTATACTCCCCTGGTTACTCTGCAAACAGATCTCCAAACACTCATAATAGGCTCATTTAAACTACACTGAAGAAAATATACTGCATTGGCTGAAACCAGGGTTACAGCATGGGTAAAATATGCTGCTACTATAAGTGCTTGCGCTTTTAAAAATATACCGCTTAAAATTACTCAGTATTGTTTACCTGATAAGCTTACCTGTCCGGGCTCTAAGAGCGGCTCCATTAGCTCTACTCCCTCTGCATAGACTTGAATTAGTGCAAGTAAATCCCTGGATCTGACAGCCTCAAGTAGTTCATTCAGTTTAGCTGCTGCAGATGCACAAGTCTTTCTAGAAAACTTATGGTCTACATACTTAGCAGTGATATATTCTTTACGTGCCGTCCTGGAGGGTGCAAAAACCAAAAGTGGGTTAGAACTCTCAGCAAAACTGACTGATAATCTAAGCTTAACATCAGACTTTACCTTGCTATGGCCCCTAGCACATGTTCATTTAAGGATACAATGGGATCTGATCCCTGATTCAAATAACCATGCCTCCTGCATAGCAGGATGCCAGACTGTAGCATCAAGGATCAGATCCCCAAAAGACCCCATTCTCACTTGCCAGTGCAGGGGGTGTTAAGCTGCCTACAGCTGATAAACCCGAGTGATCCTGGCACCAGGAACAATAATCAGCTCAATGCTGGTCCCAGACCCAAGACCGCAGTGGTGCCAGTCCCATGTGCCAGTCCTGGTGCTGGAACTGATAATCAGCTCCAGAACTGCACTGGAGTCTACAGCTAGCTCTAATTACTCTGCCACATGTTTAATTTTGTTTAAGACATGATGGAAACCAGCCACAACAACCATTACCTCTTTTTTGTGGATATTTTTGTGTCTGGTTTCCCATTAACTCATTGAACATGTGGCAGGGTCACAATTTATGGTGCGATTTACATGCTGATTGTGTTTTAATTGTACCGTCTGCCAGGGGCCTTAGATTGTACCCCGAGAAGGGAGGACTGCATGAATTTCATGACCCTATCTTGTCATAAACCAAGCCAGTGATTCTCAACATTTTTTGTGAAAACGTCTTCCATTTCTGGTAATATTGCCCGATCCTTAATTCCTTGTATCATTTGGATTTTTAGGTTGGCAGGTTGTCAAAATTTCACTCGTGACATTGCAACGTATGGCTGGCCATATCCAAACATGGGCGAACACTGACTCTAGTAAGTGTTTAACCTTGGCTTTTGTTGACAGTCATTGCCAGGAAACTGCTTCCTGCATGTCTTAAAAGGTAGAGCTGTTTGATGGGCATGACTCTCAGCAAAAGAATGCACTTTCCAGTAGCATCTCATGTCATCACTTTTAAGACTATACTGTTGTTGTAAATACTTTTTACAATAAGTCTCATGCCATTGATTAAGACAATATTTTTATTCATATTTTGTAACAGAATCACCATCATCCACACCATAAGCATAAGCCTATGGGGAGGCAAACCACTTAGTGACAAACTGCTGAGAAACTTGGTTGAATATTGGATATCCTCATTACCATGTTTGTTATCTACACTTAATTAGTTCTTTCTTCTCCAATAATTCTGGCAACTATGCCCTCATTCATAGCATCACACTTTTCATTTTGAGGCAGAATCGGTATGGTGGAAAATGGCATCCTCTGACATGGCAATGCCACTGACCTACTTGCTTTAGTTACCTTCACTTAAAATGAAGTTTTCTGGTGCTCTGATAAGATTGAAACTATTTCTGTATGTGATCTTGGCCCCTTTCCCAATCCTTTTGAGATGAGCAGCAAATTGATCTGCCCCAGCTGTTGCTCTCAAGTTTCAAGTTTTTAAAATGTCTCCACAATCGCGGTATGTTCAAACATCTTTGCTCTGCATGAAGTCTCACAGCGGCCTGTCAGTAGGGCCTTGCGAAGCTTCGGTTACCAATTGGGTTCAGCGGAGATTCAACCTGATTTGGTGGCCGCATCTCTGAATCAAATCAGGAAACCCATTAAACTCTCCAAATTGAATCGAAGCCTCCAATTCGATTTGGAGAGATTCAGTGATTTGGACATAGACACACAGCTTTATATGTTTTTTTTTTTTTTTTTTTT